ATTTATCATTTTTGCAATCGAATTAATTATTTTATGTCGTTAAGATTAAGAAGCTCGTTAATTAATTTATGAAAATTTGTCTTGTAATTTTTTAGTCAATTGCTTATCCTACTCTTAACCTTTTAAAGGCCCGAATTTTGGGCCCTTTTTCCCAATTCAGTAGCTCATTATTCTCCAATCCCCAATCTCCCAGCCCACCTTTTCCCCTTGACCCAGGCCCATTTACAATTACTCACAAAAGACACACCCAACATTTCTAATACACTACATACAGTAACAATACAATAACAATTCCAAAACATTCCCAGCCCACACCAACATACGTGCAGTACGCAACCCAACCCAAATAACCCCAGCTCGTCTTCTTCTTCTTCACGTGACAACCGACGCAGCAAGCAGAGCAAACCCAGAAATCACGCTGCAAAAATCCCATCCAACTACCCTGCAGAACCCATACCCTAGTAGCCTCAATGTCAAACCCTCACGTCCCCTTTTTCCCCTTTTCAGAGATTTCCAAATCTCTTCACTGATGGCCTTGGAAAAAGATTCATGCATTGCAAGAGAAGATTCATGCATTGCGAGAAAAAGACTCATGCATCGCGGAAAAAGATTCATGCATTACGAGAAAAATGTCATGCATTGCGGGAAAAAGATTCATGCGTTGCGGAATAAATGTCATGCATTGCGAGAAAAATGTCATGCATTGCGGGAAAATGTCATGCATCGCTGGAAAAAGATTCATGCATCGCGGGAAAAGAGATTCATGCATCGCGGAAAAAAGATTCATGCATCGCGAGAAAAGAGATTCATGCATCGCGGGAAAAAGAGATTCATGCATCGAGAGAAAAGAGATTCATGCATCGCGGGAAAAGAGATTCATGCATTGCAAGAAAAGATTCATGCATCGCGGGAAAAAGATTCATGCATCCCGGGAAAAAAGTTCATGCATTGCGGGAAAAAGATTCATTTATCGCGGGAAAGGAATCCATGCATTACAAGAGAAGATTCATGCATCGCGAGAAAAGGGACTCATGCATCGCAAGAGAAGATTCATGTATCGCGAGAAAAATGATTCATACCTTGTAAGAGAAGATTCATGCATGACAAGAGAAGATTCATGCATCACGGAAAAGATTCATGCATTGCGGAATTAAAAAAAAAAAAAAAATTCATACATCGCAAGAAAATCAATATCAATTGCATCATTTTTCTTTGCAAAAATGACATTACGAGAATCATCAACAATGACATCAAGAGAACTATCAACATATTACATCTGCTTATTTTATTACTTCATTATCAAAAGAAGAATACATTGAAGATTATATTTACAAAATACGAGCTTTATTTGCTTTACGTCAGAATCGAGAAAGCTGACGTCAAATGTCCAAGGAGAACAATTAAGTGTCAACATGGTAAAAGACACTGTCTCCCATTTGAATTGCATTTATGCTAATGAGTTTTATCTCAATCTTTGTTGAGAGCATCCGAAAGGATGAATTCTCCAAAAACCACAGGTGCAAACTACATCAAAAGGGATGCAGCACAACGTGGAACTTTTTCTTAGCAGCGAACTGGGACATAGTCCAAAGAGGAGTGCCAAACTCTTAGGACGCGAGCAGAGGAAGTGACTTCCACCACAATCAAACCACACTCCTATCAGAAGGCATGTGGGTTTATCTTTGAGTTTGTCAATTTTAGTTTCGCATCCAAAAATTTCTTGGTCTTTACCGGAAGCAAATTTCCAATCTGAGTGACAATGTGCCAAGAGCTTTGGAAATTATGTCCATGTAAGTTCTTACTTATGGATGTGAAGAGTTTCACATTCATGGCTAAGAGGTTGCAAGCCTCTTTTTCATAATTAGACTTACTTTGTCGCTCTTCCAGAACCAAATGTTATCTTACATAATAGATTTCCTTTTCAACCGATAGAGTCGAACTACAAGCAACCTGATTCTCCGAGTTGAGGGATATGTAGGCGAAATCAATGTTGAAAACTCGGCTGTATTCCGACATCCTCTCTCAAATCTTATTCTCGAGCATTCTGGTCCCTTCATAATACGGTATCAGGATAGCTTTTGAATTCTTTCAAAATCGTGCGTCAAATCAAGCGTATAGAACTACAAGTGGCCTGAATTCTCATATAACCTGAGATATATAGGAAACCCAATTTCGGGGTTCGGTCATAATTCCTAAAGCTTGTACCAAAATCCCTTTCCTAAAGATGAGAATGTGGTCGGTCAAAATTGGATTCGTCAAATTCATTTGACTCGAATTTCTTTCATCAATCCAAGTCAAATGAGGGACAGCTGTTGACACCCAATTTTGGACCTCCGCAATTTAAGTTAATCATCGAGCTTCTTTAATTTCAAACAATTTAAAATAATTAGTTTCATAAATTTTCAAAAAAATAAAATAAAATAATATTTTTTTGCAAGTTTTAAATAGTCTATCACTTTTTGTATTTTTTAATAATATATATGTTTTATGTAATTATGTATGAAATAAGTGTATCCTATAAATATCCGAAAATCATCTCAAAAAAAAAAAAAAAAAAGGATTTTATATTCTTTAGCGTATTTTAAGTGATGGCTAATTTTGAGTTAATTAGTTTTTGTTATAAATTCAAAATATCTTTCGAGTTTCTTTTATGTAAATTTTGTCAACATATATATATATATATATATATATATATATATAAGTATGTATGTATGTGTGTAATTAGTATATCTGTATATATATATATATATATATATATATAAGTATGTATGTATGTGTATATAAGTATGTATGTATGTGTGTAATTAGTATATCTGTGTATATATATATATATATATATATATATATATATATAAGTATGTATGTATGTATGTATGTGTATAATTGGTATACTTTATAAATATTTGAAAATAATCGCAAAAAGATTTTACGTCTAGGTAAATATCTTATTAATTTGCTTAGTCTAAGTTATAGTTATAATTTCAAATTAATTAGTTGTGATTAAATTTATCATTTTTGCAATCGAATTAATTATTTTATGTCGTTAAGATTAAGAAGCTCGTTAATTAATTTATGAAAATTTGTCTTGTAATTTTTTAGTCAATTGCTTATCCTACTCTTAACCCTTTAAAGGCCCGAATTTTGGGCCCTTTTTCCCAATTCAGCAGCCCATTATTCTCCAATCCCCAATCTCCCAGCCCACCTTTTCCCCTTGACCCAGGCCCATTTACAATTACTCACAAAAGACACACCCAACATTTCTAATACACTACATACAGTAACAATACAATAACAATTCCAAAACATTCCCAGCCCACACCAACATACGTGCAGTACGCAACCCAACCCAAATAACCCCAGCTCGTCTTCTTCTTCTTCACGTGACAACCGACGCAGCAAGCAGAGCAAACCCAGAAATCACGCTGCAAAAATCCCATCCAACTACCCTGCAGAACCCATACCCTAGTAACCTCAATGTCAAACCCTCACGTCCCCTTTTTCCCCTTTTCAGAGATTTCCAAATCTCTTCACTGATGGCCTTGGAAAAAGGGAATTCGAATTTCAAATTCAATTTCTCACCCGTTTTCCGTCCTAAATTGACCCCGTAATTCCTCTATATAACCACCTCTTACCCATCGGTGTAGAAAAAAAAAGAGGAGGAGGTTTTTGTTTTGAGCTTAGCAATAGTCACTTCTACATATAAATTTGTATGTTTAGCTCTCTGATTCAAAAATTCCGAGAAGATTGCCACTCAGATTTTCTAAGCTTGTCATTTATATTCTAAGTTCGTGGTGAAAGTCGCGTCATTGTTAAGCTCGCTGTCCCGGAACGTTGCTCGGCAAAAGGTAATCTTCTCTTCATTTCAGTGTTTATGTTGGCGTTTAATTATGTTTTGTTCAAAGAAATCGTGTTTGGCATTAGTCGTTTGAATACTGTTTCCGGTAGCTTAAAAAATAAAATAAAATATATATAGTAAAAGTGCATATCTTTGAACTTGATCACTTATTCTGATGTGTTGACAGCTTGGATTTGTTGTCGGCTGGTTCTAATATTGCTATCTTAGGTGTTGATTACTCATATATGGTTATTATAGATGGATTGCATATATGGCCGTTTTGGGTCAATGACTATGTCCTTGATGTTGTCGACATGTGGTTGTTCAAATGACTTGCATATACATTAAATCTATGTGAAATGATTGAATATCCCTGTATTTCATTACAATGCGATTATGTTCTCTTGTTTAAGTTGTTCCTATTTCTAAAGCTTGTTCCTGACAGAGAAAGTTGCATATTCTTCATTACTTTTCATTCTGGACTTCATTTACTTCGAGCTTGTACCAACTACGACTAAGTTAAAATAAGTTGATGAGCTGCCTATTTCAAGCTGCTGTCCTCTGTTAAGACCCCATGTCCCATAAATTTCTGTTTGTATGTCCTTAGTGCCTTTTTTTTATCATGCTAAATCGATTTCTCAATAACTCTTTCTAAGCTCGTTTTGATCTAATATTCTCCTATTTTTCTCTTGCGTGAGATTTCTTATTTTATTGTCTTCTTTTGTTCCAATCCCTATCCCATATTTGCTTAATAAAGTTTGTTAAATGAATCTTTGTTTGTAGTTTGAGTTGGCTATGGATTTTAGTTGTTTATTGACATATTTCATCATCGCGAAGTCTTCTAGTATACTTCTTGATGATCAAATTTACAATTTTATAGTCCAAACAATTAGAAAAAAGGAAAAATTACCCAAACTAACTACATATGTTGCAATTATTATATTATTCAAATCCTGGCTGCGCCTTTGTAATAAGATACATATATTGCAATTATAAGAATACTCTTTTTGAAACTTGATAAACAATAAGTCTGCTCATCTACCATTTTCCACTTAAATTAAACTATATATAACGGCTTTTGTCTACGATAGGGTTATAATAAAAGAACATAATAAAAAGATGAATAAAAATGAAACTTACCCTGGTACCAATGGATATATACTATTGCTCCATTCATTCTTGAGTTGATGAAGATCAGAATGACAAATTCCACAATACATAACTTTGAATTGCACATCTTTTTCACCAGTCACCCTTCATCATTCAACAAGAAAAGTTATAGATATATACTGTTCGGTCAACTAGTTTATCAATATGTTCGAAATTAATATACACAATATATACACTATCAATATTGTCAGTTTATATAACGTAAGTACCTTCTTGAGAAGTCGAAAGGAGAAAGTACCCCAGAAGTATCTCTAGCTGCCCATCCAAATGCCTCAACATTTTCATGTGATTTTTCCATTTTCTTGATTTTGTTTATTTTTGGAGATATTATTATTGTTATTAGAACAATTAGTTTGAGTAAAGTTATAGTCCAATGTATTGATTTTTCATTTGAATAAATAGGCATTTGAGTTGATGGCTAGTGACGTAGTCGATGAGGTATGAACAAATGTTATCGTCATGGCTTCTCTGTACAATTTGCCTTTTTATTAATTAATATAAGATAATATTATATCTTATATTATATGATGTTTCTAGGAAAATGGTTCAGTAGTAAGTGACTAATTTTAAACTATGTGTAGTAGTGACATGCTTAGTAGAAATTGGTTTCAATGAAATGTTTTATTATGATTGTATGGGATCATAAAAGATTTTGAAAAAAAAAATGGAGAAAGCTTCACTTTATTGATTTGGTTTGATTTATGAATAATGCAATTGGTTTAATTTGGTAAATGATAAATCTGAATCAATTGGTCTGTGTATTTTCCCTCAATAGAATTCAGTAATTTTGATTATGAATAAGATCATATATTTATGTTTGAAAATTAACTTTATATATCGATCATATTTAGTTTTTCGTGTGTATTATGAGCTCATGAATCTGGCGTCGTTGGACACCCGAATTTATTTATCTAGAAAAATTGTATGAGAAGCTTCGTAATGAGTCGGGAAAGCGATACATATAGTCCCGTCGATTTTTTTCACGCATATTTACGCATTTACGAGTCAACTTTTAGAAATTACCCGACTTTCTTGGTTTTTCGTGTGTATTAGCCCATGGATCTGACGCATTTAGGGCACCAGAATTTTTTTCCTGAAAAAACTATATGAAGACCTTTGTTATGAGTTGGAGAAGCATTACGTGTAGTCCCGCCGTTTATTTCATGCATATTTTCGCATTTATGATCCAACTTTTAGGAATCAACAAACTTTTTTAGTTTTTCGAGTGTATTAGTCCATGGATCTAGCGCCTTTGGGACATTCAGAATTTTTTTCTAAAAAACTATATGAGGACCTCTGTAATGAGTTGGGAAATCATTACGTATATTCCCGTCATTTTTTCAGATTTAGGAGCCAATATTTAGAATTACCTGACTTTCTTGATTTTTCGTGTGTATTAACCGATGGATCTGTCGCCTTTTGGGCACCCAAAAATGTTTTCTGAAAAAATTATACGAGGACCTTCGTAATGAGTTTGGGAAGCATTGCATATAGTCCCGCCAATTTTTTCACGCATATATTTGCATCTACAAGCCAACTTTTAGGAATTACCCGATTTTTTTTATTTTTTGTGTGTATTAGCTCATGGATCGCGCCTTTAGGCATCCTGATTTTTTTTTTGTCAAAACTATATGAGGACCTCCGTAATGAATTGGGAAAGCATTACGTATAGTCCCGCCGTTTTTTTCACATACATTTCATGATTTTCGTATGTATTAGCTCATGAATATAGCGTCTTTGGGCGTCCCAAAATATCACGTGGAATGCTATAATTTAATAAGTGAAAAACACAATAATCTGAAAAAGATTTTGTAGTTAAGGGAGCATGTACGATTAAGCTATCGAAAATGATGATTGCGTCACTTTAATATCGTTCCACAATAATTAATTAGGATATATGGTTGGTGATTACCTTTCCAGTATTGCCATCAGAAAAGATGGTGAACAATAATTTGAAAAAAATAATTATAAATTGTGTGTGATTGGTGCGACAGAAAAATATTTTCTAATTTTTCTACGTTTGATTGGTCAAATATTTTTTGAAAAATACTTTTTATAAAATCGTTAAAAATCAGGAGAATAAATTCCTGATACAATGTAAAAAATAAGTTTCATAAGTAACATTTCAGCTAGATTATTTTCTTCCCACCCCACCCAACTCAACCACCAAATCTCACCCTTGATCCTACTATTTTGTTTGCTTTTGAATATTCACAAATTTGCAAAAAGAATAAGAATCTAACATTTTGATCAAGTTAATTTCAATCAAAATACTAAAAAGAAAGTCGAAGTTTAGGGGGGTCTAGTCAAACAATCGGACATCATCCATTCAATTAAAAGGATTAAATACAAAATTTATCTTTAAGCTTACCTTATTCTGATCGTTTGAGGACCATTGCGGAGTCACTACGTGTAAAGGAGAATAATAAATACAACATCGACCCTACCACTTGAGAACAATATTTCAATTCATTATAATTGGGGATAAAAGCTGTCGGTTCATTTTTTTTTTTTCAAATATAACTTACTATAAGTCATTTATTTGTTTAGATTAATGAAGAAGGAAATAATATGGGTCCTCTATTAGGTCAATTCAGAAAATAAAAAGGCAAAAAAAAAAAGACATGACTATTTGAAATATCTAGTTGTTTAAACAAAAAATATCCTCTTTAAATAGTGTTTTTGTTTTCTTTAAATAGGAAAATAAATGACTATTTTGATTAATTGAATGTTAAACGTGCTTTAGTAAATATCTCAAGACCGAAATCAGAATATACCTATAGTTTATGGACCGAAAATGCTCTTATTCCTACTTTATACAAGAATTTAAGTTATGACATCAACGAGGATTGTGATAGAGTATTGGTAAGTACTTATTCATTTTTAATCAAAGGTCTCGGATTCAAGTCTCCAATCTGATTACAAAGTAGCCTTTGTTAGAAAAAATGTTGGATTTTCCGGCGTGAACGTGGATTTTCAAACTTGTCTCATCTCCTTACTCGAGAAATCTATGATAGCTCCGTAAACTAATAACTTATAATAGACGAGCCCAATATATTTATGTATGTTCCGAACTTGTTTTTGGTACAAGGGGAGGGGCGAAAAATTCTAGTTATAGTTCTTCTTCTGCCTAATCTTTAGTACCACTTTGAGATTTAATCTTTAGAACCATGTGCCTAAGAGGGTGAGGGCCTTTATAGCCATAATTCTTCCCCCGGCTCTACATCAAAACCAAGTCTTTTTTATTGCCTCACTGACCTTTTCTAAAAGCACTTTGGGTCGGAAGTTGGTTGTAAAGTAAAGAAGGGTGGTGTGCTTTTGAATTTGATTTATTTTGATAGAAAGAAGAACCAGAATTGATCTTGGGTCGTGTCGTTTTTCAATTGTACGGTGGTTGGGCCCCAAAACAATATCTTTCAGGATGGAAAACCAAAAAAAAGAAGAAGTTGTATACGAAAACTTATTATTGTGTCATATAAAATTAAACATAAGAGATTAAGAGTAGTAGAAAGGAATGTTTAGTAATTCCCTCACACCATTTTTTCTTGCTTAAAATACAAACACACAACAAGAATAACATGTCCCTATATTATCTCTTCTTCAAAGTATTGCCAATGTCAAGAACAAAACGATACTTAACGTCCGATTTCATGAGACGTTCCACCGCTGTATTCACATACTCCATTGGCACGACTTCAACATCTGGTGTTATGTTATGCTTCTCCGCGAAGTTTACCATCTCTTGTATCTCTTTCACCCCTCCTATCGCGCTCCCTCCCACTAGCTTCCGTCCTGTTTTCCACATTACATATTAACTAAATCAAACGGACATGTTAGAACTTAAATGAAGAATAAGATACTACGCAAAATGTACCTGAAAGCAAGGGAAATACAGGCAACTCTAGTGGTTTTTCAGGGGAACCAACCATCACTAGCTTCCCATTAGTTTTCAACAAATTAAGCAATGGAAAAATAGGATGAACCGCAGAAACAGTGTCAATGATTCCATCAAGTGAACCCTCTGCAGCCTGCTCGTATTACACGTGCAAACGAAAATTCATACTTATGTCACATGAATATCATTGTAAATTTGTGATTGAAGCTAAGTTGATTGATCGACTGACCTGCATTTGTTAAGGATCACGACTAACCAAAAATGAGTCTGCTCCTAAACGTTCAAGTGCCTCGTCTTTTTCACTGATAGATGTACTAATGACAGTAACTTTGGTCCCAAACGCCTTGGCGAATTTCACAGCCATATGTCCAAGTCCACCGAGACCAACAACACCAATGTGCATTCCAGGTTTATCTAGTCCGTAATATCTCAAAGGGCTATAAGTTGTGACCCCTGCACAAAACAGGGGAGCTTCTTCCATTGGCAAATTATCAGGCCAGCGAACGATAAAATGCTCATTGACAACCATGAGATCGGAGTAACCACCGTGAGTGATGGTTCCATCAGAGTGAGTACCATTGGCTGTCAATACCTGTCCAGGACAGTAATTCTCGAGATCGTTGGAACAATTTTCACATTCGTTGCATGATCCTACTAGATATCCCACGCCTATTTTGTCTCCGATTTTGAACTTGTCTACCTTGTTACCAACCTCAGTTACCACTCCAACAATTTCATGCCTGAAAAATCAATTGAGATTGACATAAATTTTTATCTCACAAACTCAAAAACTATATTGACCTTCAAGGCATAACTTGTTAATCAATTTCACTATACATTTGGGTTTTGGCTACACATTTCTTAGTCGACTTAATCGAGCTGTCCAGATGGTCATTCAACTAGTAGTTATTATCACAGAAAGTATATTACTTTTTGAGTGATCATCTGAGAAATCAATCCGCCCTCTACCCCTTCCATCCAAGTATTATTTTAATGTTTTTTGTTTGGTGTTAAAGACAACATCCACTTACATAATCTTCTTGAGGTTCAAAATTGTTTACAACATAGTGCAAATCTATGTTGTTCGGGTCCTTCAAAAATATTAAGACATCGTATCGGATTTTGGAAGATCCAATATGCAGAAGTATGTTTGAAGAGTCTGAGCAACATAGTACCAAACATATAACAAAAGGAAATTAAAAGTAGCTCATATTAGGATTATTTTTTTTGCCCCACAAATATCAATATGTTTGTAGTATCTCCGAGAGCAGTCAGAATTCTAGTAATGAATATTCTTGCAGATTTTAATGTAAAAATGGATAATTTTGTAAGTGGCGGAGTCAGAAATTCTAATAAAAATATATGGAGAGAAGTATTGAAAACAATTCTAAATTCGGCGTAAATTATTAGTTTCATTCTTGAACTATTGACA